AAAATGTCGAATATCGGGAGGTGCCGTTATATGGGGCTATACTAAAACGTGGACGTGGCACACACAATGTTTCTCCACCGGAGCTGGAACCCATTAGGAGCGATAAATACCAATTTTTAGAGAAATCCGTGGAAAAATATGACAAAAGTCATCAAAATACCGAATATTGGGAGGTACAATTATGTAGGGGCTATACGAAAACATGGCTCTATACATACAATGTTTCGCCACCGAAGCTAGACCCCATTATAACCTACAAATACAATTTTTTTTACAAATCCGTGGAAAAATGTGACGAAAATCATCAAAATACTGAATATGGAGAGGTACTGTTATATGGCGGCTATACCAAAACGTGGACTGATATATCTCATTTTCAATACCAAACATCCTAGACACAATACAAATTGTTTTGCCAAATTTTGAAGCTTTACGTCAAATAATCGTGATTTCAATAGACAGACGGAAATACAGACGGACTGACAGACGAACAGACAGGCAGACGGACATTCGACTTAGAATTTTTTGCTGATCATGAATATATATACTTTATGGGGTTTACGACGAATATTTAGTGATATTACAAACGCAAATAATAAAGTTAGGGTATATTAACTTTTCAAGGTGGAGGGTATAAAAATGAATTTCCCCAATTTCTATTGACATAGATCCACAAGTTGGCATTTTGATTAGCTGTAATTCCTTATTAGTACCTTTGGTAGGAACCTTAGATGTAGCATATTTAAGTCTACTCTCTAAAGCACCCCTGATTCCGGAGCAGTCCAGTGCTTTGGTTTGCCACTGAAGTCTAGGTTCCGTCGTGACACGACAGTCTTATGACCTCACCTGCTTTCTTGAATAAATGTCTCTAGCATGGGCTTGAGGAAAGAACTAAGATAGTATTTAAGGCACTCTCTTTATCGTCAGGGATAAATTCTTGTTTTTTTTTTGGAATTCCTCCCTTCCCGAAGGAGTCATATATTTATTTATTTATTTTTTAATTCTTGCTTTTATTTCATTTACAGACACAGTTTGGAAAATCATTGTGCAGTATTTGATCCTCAATACAAATACAGGTAAGTATTGAAATGTAAACATCTAGGTTTAATATTCTGTTCGGTCATTTTCTGCAAATTTTCTTGGGGATAGGTATGTTGTCGAAATATATATGAAACCATACGGTATGCTTGCATTATCTTTGTAGCTTTCCGAATTTTTTTATACTTTTTAAAAACTAGTTTATACAACTTTAAAGTCTCCTTTTCCTCATTTATCTCTAACATGTTTATAGCATACTTTTAGGCGCTCCCCACAATTCATTCATTAAAAAAGAAACACTTTATAATATATTAATACATTATAATAAATAGTATATATTTCTTGGTATATCATTTTGGTAGTTAATGCGCTTAAAAGTATGCTATTAAAATGTCAAATCTAAAATTTGAAAAAGTCACTTTGCATATAACACTAACATGATGTGTAGCTAACCTTAACAGGTGATACTTGATGGAACCAGCGCTATGTAACATATGTCTACGAGGGGAATGAAAATTTATTAGACTTATTGATCTGCCCTCATAATTATGAATATTATCTAAGACAATGGCAAGTCTGACAATTTATGACAATTTTTTTGTCAACATTTTTAGTTAAGTGCAATTGAATGGACACAAAAGCTTCTCACATCATAAAACAACATTATGTTACAACACCAATTGAATATTAATATTGCAATTTTGTGTCAATAAATTTCACTTCTTACTTTTACGCAAAAGAAACCATTGCATTTCAAGGCAATAAATATATTCATTGCCATCTCCACATTAAGCAAATTCTCCATGCATTTTTTATTCCATCCCGAGCAAAAAATACCTTAAAGTAAAACTTTTTTTTTGGTAAGACTGGCCTACAATCAACGCCGCAAAATAATGTATGAACTATTCTTAAACGCAGTCAATAAATTCCATGGACTCTCGGTGTGTGTGTGTTTTTGTAACATTGCTTGGCAATGGGCGAGTGTGCCCCGTATGTTTCACAAAAAGCACAGCCAGTAAATAACTTGGAATCGAAACGTGCTAATGTCAAATAATTCGTGTAGCACACAAAAAAACTAGGTGGATATCTTAATTGACAGGCGTAAAAAGCTGATTAGACTTTTGATTTCCACTCGAATGGAAAGTTTAATGCAATGAATGGGTCGGTTAGGAAAAATTGCAATACTTTGTTTTAATGATAATAAGGCGGTGTATTAAAATTCAACAAAGATAAACAGTGGAACACCAAGAAAATGAAATTTCAATGGATCGTAACATAAATTACTAACAACATTTTATTTTTTATAAAAAAACCTGACCCTTATTTTTATGAAATTAAAAAAACAGAGCCTTAATATGCCTGTTTTTGTATGACGAATCAAAGTTGATGCAATAGAAAAACACCATTTCAAACAACTTTTCCATATTTTTGATTATTTTTGAAATTGCAATCCAAAATTTTAAAATCACAGTCGGGCTTGTGTTTTTCGTTCTCCTTCGACATGCAAAAACAGACCCTTACATTAATTTATTGCAAAACCAAATGTTCATTGAATATTCTCGACATATTTCCTTAAAAATAATTTTTTCCCTCTTCCCCTAGATGGTCATCAAGATCTTGTGTGGACAAACATCGTTTCATTTGCCAGCATAAAATGCCCAAGGTTAGCGAGAAGAATCGTCACAAGGTCTACAATCGCTGGAATGCTACCTATCCCAATCAATTGGCCAATGAAGTTATTTTGGAAGTGATCGACCGCAAAGGAAGGTGAGTTGATTTGATTATTTAAAATATTTCCTTACTTTCGTTCGTTCGTTACAACATAATTTAAGTACACGAAATAGCAATTTACATATATTCCCCTTGGAAATTATGGCCATGATCTTCGTATTACTTGGCATCATAAAAAGTTAACCCAAGAGGCGGAGGGTTGGTACTGGTTTTTGGCAATGTCAAAGTACATTCGATTTGGCAGTCAAAACTACCAGAGTGAAAATAAAAAATAGTCAGGGTCGCTCTATGAAAGTTATTGATGAAATGTTTTACTTTATTTAAGCATAGGTCAAACTCTCGAATTCGACTTTGAATAAATTTTTACTTTCTTTGAAACTGGCCTTAGTTCTCGCATTCGATATCGAACAAATTTCGATCGAAATGAATTTTTGTATTCGCATTTTAAATTTATAGAAAAAAATGGGGTTCAACTCTAACATTCCACATAGGGACGGCTCTACCGAAATTATCATTTAAAATCAAGTTAAAATGGACATATTGAAATTATTGAAAATTAAAGCAAGAATTTATCCCTGAATTTTTCTTAATTAGAGTTTTTTTTTTAATTAAATAAGTTAAAAGGTATCAGTTGGTTTTCCGACAGATATATACCCTCAGCCAATGTTCAATTATTTAGAGGAATTTTGACTTCTGTTATGATTATTCGAATCATAAAATCCATATTCATCTCAGGTTTTTGGTTGAAACATTTAGATATAACAAGTTGTAAAGAATCTCTGTCTTCTTTCACAAGTTATGACAGATAAATATTTGGATGTGTGAAAATTAAAGAGGGTTGGATGCTTATTTCGCTTTCTTTGAGCGTTTTGCTTTTCAAATGATGATAACAGAAGATATGGTCCGATCTCTGCCATATTTTTAACAGATCTTGTATTGGGGGAACTATTGAGATGTACCAAGTCTGAATTGAATTAACGTTTTATGAGCTTCATGGATATTCAAAATTATGACCCGTTATGTGGGAGGTACTTGATGAAGTGGACCGATATTGTCCATTTTCACAGCAGATCTTGTGTTAGTAAAAATAATGGGGCATGTGAAATATGAGGAGAACCGGATGCTTATTTATAATCGTGTAATTTGAAGACAATCGACTCTTACATGACATTTTATAAGAGTTATATTTATTCAAAATTTTGGACCTTTATTGGGGTGGTACTTGATTGAGTGGACCTATATTGTCCATATTCGCACCTGACCTAGCACAGATGCAAATATTAGGATTTTCAAAGTTGGAGCAAAATCGGATCATCCTTTTTTTTCTGTGGAGTATTTTTTTTATTTATTTTTTAAATGTTCGACCTTTTTGTGGGATGTACCAGAAGGGGTGGACCGATATTGCTCAACTCCGAACTCGATCTAATATTACAATGTACCAAGTTTGGAACAAATCTGATACTCCCTGGCTAGGGGTATAAAAATTATAAGGCATCATTACTGTCAATGAAGTTATTCTTACTCCGCTGAGTGGAAGTGAAAAGGAAGGATTACTATATAGAGTACAATTCCCGTTGGGATTCTAAGATACTCTATGTAAAAATAAGAGAATATCCAACCAGAGTCGTCAATTTGCCGTTGACCGACCCAATATCTCCCAATTGCCTAGGAAAGGGTATGTAGGTACTTTTCAAATTAATGGCAAAGGCTTGGATAAGGTTTATCAGTAAACGTTACAATGGTTTTAGACCCGGACGGGATGGATTCTCCGTCATGAAAATATTGTATATTTTTAAACTATATTTGAAAACACATACGCCGTTTAAAAACAAAGTCCTTCGAAATGTTCTCGACCTGGCAAATCTTGCCAATAAGCAAATCAAGTTCATGACTTGAAAATGAAAAAAGACCTCAAAATAAGTACGATAGGCTCCGATTACATCTCTGACTCAATCTTAGTAACGAATGATATATTTTTCTTGAAAACTATGCTAATCACTCTTATAGTTCTCTCACAAAAAACTTTTTTTTTTTGTATAAAAGATTTGCAAATTCCTTCCCACGAGTTATATATTCTACTAAAAAATCACTACATGTCACAAGAAATATGCTAGAACAAGCTTGGTTAGTTGCTGTTAAAAGGTATCAAAATCATTCAAACCCTCCTAATATTTGTCTTTTTCCCTACTTTCATAATATTACCAACATTCTGCATTCTAATAAAATACAAATTCCAATTTCAAGAGGTATTTATTTCTTTGTAACATATGCAACTATATTTTAATACACTTCAGCTAATTGAATTGAATTTATGCAGATTTAAATTAGAATATTACGCGTAAATTGTTGCACAAATTATTGTAAATGTAAGCGGCCTATTATTGAAATCTAAAATCAAATCCATGTTATGGATTACTACTTGGCGCTGGAACTTCTAGTTTTTCTTCTGGTATATCCGAAATTTTAGAACTCTCCTCAATGTCTATTTTTGTTTCATCCGTTTCCAAAAAATTGTCCCATTTATTAAGTCGCTTTTGAATTTCTTCTTCGGTTTCTTCAATTCTACAAAAAACGAAAATTGTTTGTATTTAAAAATAAAAGAAAAAGAAATATGTTTATTGAACTTACTTATATTTAGTTTTACCATCCCAATGTTCGGCTGTCAGTTGGCGTTTACCAAAAAATCGGCCATGCATCATTTGTATCACCAAATCAGCTTCCTCGGGTGTGGACATATTAATTTGTGCAACACCTTCCGAATGGCGCTAAAGAATAAAAAACGATTTTACTTGCTCTTACATTAAGTATTTAATTTCAAAACTTACATCATAGATTATAACCTTGCGTACTGTGCCACATTTACTACACTCCTCTCTCAAATCATTTTGATAGTCCAATATAAGTTGTACTTCCTTCTCAAAGAGATCCGGATGGAAAAGATTCTTGATGATAACACTTTTCTCGTGTTTAAAACGTTCACCGCGCATCTTCTCCGGTCGCCAATCGAAAAGTCTGTCAAAGAACAAAAACGCCAAATTATTGGTACAATTTTCGAAATTATCCAAAGGGACTTACTTTTCTTTGATTTTGGCCAATTTCTCTTTGTCTTTCTTTTTCCGTTTCGGTTTAAGCGCTGGATTGTATTCACCTCTCATTTGAAATTGGGCCCGCTGTACACGGATTTTATTACCCCTTAAATTATATTCATCGAGTATTTTTAGAGCCAAATGCACTGATTCCACCTTTAAAAGAATTGGTATTCCATAAATTAGTTAACAACAAAAATTGGGCCTTATTTTAAACTAAAATGCAAGCAGGATGAGAAAGATGAGCACATGCAGATGTTAAATTTTCACGAAAAAAGCGAAATAAATTAAAACTTGTCCCTCTTTTCGATAATTTAATTTAAAGGAAGTATAGAAGGTATTCCTAACGCATTTGAGCTTCATATGTTCTCGACTACCATTTATTTAGCTTTTCTCTTTCATTTCGGTTTTGATTTGAAGTTTATCTCTATCTCTCTCTTTTCTAGATACAATCGCCGTGTCATTGCCGATGGCAGTAATGAAGAAATGGTTGTCCCCACCCGTCCCGGTACTCACAATCGTCGCCGTCGTCCACGCCCTCAACGCCCCACTGCGGTGCCCGGTGAAAACGATGTCACCTATCAATCTCCTCATACCCCAAGACATCCACGTGTTCGCACCACCACAACCACCACCACTCCATATCCCTACACTGCAGCCTCACTACCCAACAACCGTGACAATGAAATCCTAGGACCCCATGAAGCCGTCACTCCAACACCGGCCAACGTGCAAAGGAGAAAGAACTCGAATGTACGCACAAAATTGGATCGCGAACTGCAGCGCCAGCGTGAAAAGGAATTGAGACGTTTGCAACGCAAAAAGGAAAGGCAAGAAAAGAAACGCCGTGAAAAGGCTGAAACCTTGAGAAAAATGCGCGAACAAAGGGAACAGGAAAAACGCCGCATTCACGAAGAGAAAATGAGACAGAAACAATTGCAACAACAAAATCAGCAACAGCAAAGGGAATTGGATCAAATCCGCCAAAAGGAAAACGAGGCCGAGCAACAGAGGCAGCAACGTGAACGACAACTGGAGGAAACCCAACAGAAGAGCAAATTGCAAGAAATCGAGTCGTTGAAGAAGCAACGCGAGGAGGAAGAAAGAAAACGTTTGGAAGACGAAGCTGAGGAGAGAAGACGCCAGGCTTATTTGGAAAAAATGCGTGAATTAGAGGAACAAGAGAGAGCCAAGGCTGAAGAGGCACGCAAACAGGAAGCCGAAAAGAAAATGGAAGAGGCCCGAAGACAAGAGGAGGAACGCAAACGTTTAGAAGAAGCCAAACGCAAGGAATACGAAGAACGCCTCAAGCAAGCCGAAGATGAAAGAGCCCGCCAATTGGCTGAAGAACAAGAACGCAGACGTCTCCAGGATGAGGCAAACCGCCGTCAAATCGAAGAAGAACAAAAACGCAAACAGGAAGAAGAACGTAGGCGATTGGACGAAGAGGAGGAACGTTTGAAATTACAGCGCTTGGAAGAAGAGAGACGTGTCGAAGAACAGGAATTGGCCCGCTTGCGCGAAGAACAAAGAAAACGAGCGGAAATTCAACGCAAACGTGAGGAGGAAATAAAACGTCTTGAAGAGGAAGAGAAACGCATTGCCGAAGAGGAGGCACGCATCAAATACGAACTGGAGGAGGCGGAGAGACAGCGCAAACTTGAAATTGAAATGGAAGCTAAACGGGCCGAAGAGGAGGCCCGCGCCAAAGAGGAGGAACTTAAGCGTCGCGAAGAACAAGAGGAACGTGATCGTTTGGCCAAAATCGAACAAGCCAAGCGCATAGAGGAGTCGCGCAAAGAACAAACCAAAAACGAAGTTAGTAATAATTTCAGAAATCGTTTGGCCTCGTTATCGCCGGAATTGCTCAAGGAATTCATGGAGAAGCGAAAACAGCGTAAATTGCAAAAGATGAGAGAAGAGAAGGCGCGACAAGAGGCATTAGCAAATGGTTCGGCTTAAATTGGTGATCCCTCCAGCCAAGCCATTGTCCTACCACCTACCAACCGAAAACTAAACGAACTTATGAATAAGCTAACATTTTTCTAGATTTTCATCGTCTCTCTCTTTCCGATTCTCACACTCTCGTTGAAGTTCTCTCTATTTCGAACCCTTACGATTAGCCAACCCAAATGAGATGATGTTGTATATTTGTGTTAATAGAGGAAAAAGGGAACACGCGTTTACTCTCTTTTGTTGTAAGCATTAAAGAGAGTTTGAAAAAAACACAAAGTCGTAATACATTCTTTTTTTCGTTTCTAACAATTCGTCAAATTTTTTCCATTAAAAAATATACTCACAAAAAAAAAATTAAAAACGAGTTGTTTTCAGTTTTTTTGTTGTCTTATTTTTCGTTTTGTCAAGTACAACTCCCTGAACCCACAGCTTCCACACAACCCCCATATACCCATTCTAACAGAGATTTAAGTGCACTATAGTATTAAATTTTAAAACCCCGGTTTTAAAACACACAATCAAAAAAAAAAAAGTCAAATGCCAAAATACTTATGTGAGAAAATATTTTGAAAGAAAAAAATACTTTTTTTCCTTTTCAAAAGAAGAACACATCAAGAAGAACTGTATATACATATCCTTAAAATAAAATGTAATGCACCGAACTTTTTTTAAAAAAAGAATAGATTTTTAAAATGTACTTTTATCAACCCACATCGACAGGTGACACGATTACTTTCCACTTTCCATTTAGAAAAAGAAAAAAAACAAAATAATTATAAACCGACTAAACAAAAACCTACAACGATAATCAGGACTATGATTTGGGTGGGACTGGCTGTCATGGAAGCAGACCGTAATAATTGATTCCACAGAGGCGAGGATTTTTCTGGCAGAAAAATAAAATAAGATCATGATGGCATCCTATCCTAAATATATTCCTTACAAACACTGGGCTACCGTGTCATTTCAGTGAGGTCGAAACATTTAATGTGGAACATTTACATAACCTCACATTTGATATTTTGCTCTGTAGCACAGTGTAAATTACCAAAATAGAAAGAAGCAAAGGACAGTATCATTCACTCATACAACAAAACGAATATATAATATTTTAAAACAAATATATAATTTTAAGATTTTTGGTTTTTCTAAAAAAGCACTGCTCTTCAAAAAAACTATACAGTAGCCATATGTGAAGAAAATCTTAAAAGCAAATAAAAATTTAATATAACTTTTAGTAAGATAAGAAAACAAAAAAAAAACACAAAACTGCACAAAAAACCCAATTTTTTAATGATTACAAAAACAAAAGCAAAGCAAAATTATTGTTAAACAATCTAAAATAAAAATGTATTTGAAAAATATATTTTGAATTAATTTTCCTTGATTGATTTCCCATTGTTTTCATTAAAAGAGAAAAGAGAAAAATTAAAAAAATGCAAGTAAATACCGCAAAGTTACTGTTAAATTTAAGCTTTAAACAAATACGAAAAAAAAATGTTTTATTTTTATAAAAACAAAAAATAAAAACTATTTGTAACACAATTTTTTAATTACCTCAAAATGTAAGTTATTATGTTTTCAATTATTATTATTATTTTTTTTTAATTTTTATTTAATGTTAATTTTAAATTGTTTGGCCTTCGATATATATAGTTTTCCTTTTTCTACACAGCAATTTATGTATTAAAATGTTAATTCTTTGATATGAATATACTTTTTTTAATTTTAAATAAAAGCTTTTTAAAAAAAATAAACAACTAAATCTAAACTAACCCTGAATATAATAAATAATACATCTTTACATAGAACGTATAAAATCGAAATAGTCAAAAAATCTAATTTAAACAACAAAAGAAAAATAATCTAATAAGTAATAAATAAAAAGCGATACAAATAAAAAACGAAAATGTGTGATTTTTATTATTCTCAATGAGGAGGGGGTTAATTTGGACCAATAACAAGTAAGAAAGCTGTTGAATACCCTCCACTATTTGGAACGAATTTGACAATTTTCAAAAAAATCAAATCCGTTAAAAGGTCTGTTACAATTTTAAAAATACCGAATATAGTCGTTCTAATAGGGTCTATGCGACGACGTGGACATTGCATAGTCAAATTTAGACATAAGCTATTACAATATTCAAATGCGAAACTTAAAAACGAAATTCTGTGAATAATGGAGCTAAATCATCAAAATACCGAATATTGGGATGTACCATTATATGGAGGCTATACGAAGACATGGGTCTGCATATGCTATTTTAGGTCCTAGGCTATAGTATCCATTACGAATTCACTAAAATCGTCAAAATATCGTATATCGGGGGGTTCCGTTGCACATGGGCTATACGATATCGTCGTCGTCATAGACATTTCTCTTCCATAACTTCTGGAATGGATTTTAAGACAATTCCATTAAAAAATGTAGCTTAAATCATCAAAATACCGAATACAGGGATGTAACGTTATAGGGGGGATGTACGATACCGTGGACATAAATAAACAATAATCTTCTAGGAGGTAAAGTACTCAGAAGGAAATCCTATTGTGGATTTTCAGACAATTTTATTGAAAAATTTGGCTACAATCATCAAAATAGCGAAAATCGTGGGGTTCCGTTTTATACGGGTTATACGATATCGTAGATATATATATAGACAATTCTCTTCCAGGGGGGTAAAAAGTACTCAGAAAAAACTTCTGGTGTGGAATTTCAAACAAATCCATTGAAAAGTGTGGGTAAAATCAAAATACCGAATATGGGGAGGTACAGTTATTTGGGAGCTATACGATATCGTGCACCTATATAGACAATTCTCTTCGAGGAGGTAAAGTACTCAAAAGGAACTCCTTGTGTTTATTTTCAGACAATTTCATTGAAAAATTTGACTAAAATCATCAAAATACGGTATATCGGGGGGTACCGTTGTATGGGGGCCATACGATATCGTGTACCTATATACATAATTCTCTTGCAGGGCCTTGGGTGGATTTTCAGACAATTGCATTGGAAAATCTGGCTAAAATCGTCAACATACCGAATATCGGGGAGTGCCGTTGTATGGGGGCTATACAATATCGTGGACCGATATAGCCCATCTTCGAACTTGACCTGCCTGCAGACAAAAGACTAATCTGTGCAAAATTTTAGCTTCCTATCTTTTCGTTTTGACTCTAGCGTGATTACAACGGACGGAGATTGCTAAATCGTCTTAGAATTTTACGCTGATTAATAATATATATAACCACCAAGCTGGTACTTCTGACGAACGGAAAGAATTTTCGTCCCCTTATGTAGATAGCCCACTGGTTCCCCGTTTCTTCTACAATACATCCCTCTCCCCTCTTCCTCCCTCTCTACCACTATTTTGAGCGATCTCATTTTCCAAAAGAAGTAACACGGAAGTGCTCCCAAACAAAACATGAATACATAATAAATTGTAGATTCCGTAAAAAATACTCCCACTCATCGGGCAATGCTTCGCTCCCGGGTAACAATGAGCAAATCTGTGCTCTGATTTAGGGTATATCGTATTGTATAGTAACCATGTGTACCCCAGGTGCTGCTAAAATGTTGACAATTTTGTTGTAAGTAACTTCACTCCCGGTTATCTGTTGACTATATAATAAGTAAAAATGACAATTATGCCCCATTGATAATCACTTTTCGTGGAAAAAGGCTAATAACAATATTATTTTTACAAACATATCATAATGGTTCAGGCGCACTTGGGTCCTAAACTTATTTGAACAAAATTACCAGAATTGCATAAAAATCTCAAAATCTCATAAAAGTGGCTGGCTTCATTTTTCATCAATTTTTTTATTGCATAAAAAGCACCATTGGTAAACCCCCACATATAACTGTGCCACATGTTTATGTCTTTAGATGATTTCGATCAAATTTTTAAACCGAAATTCTAATAAATTGGTATTTTATATCATCCTAATGATATGATTTGACGATTTTGGGCTTAGAAGGAAAACGGTCTTACAGCTTTTGATTGATTATGGCGCTATCCATATAATTTCTTACATATTTCCTTTTTTATATTATTATTAATAATAAATGTTTCAATCATTTTCAAGATCCTGGTCTAATATGCGTTTTAAGATAATAAAAAATTGCATCCTATTTTGATGCAATTAATGGTGGTATTCGTTTTAATTTGCCTCAATTTTTCTTAAATACAATTTAAAAAAATATATTTAATCCGAAGTATGGTGACTGTGCGTGCAACAATGCAAGGTGTTAGTTTGGCATTCAAATGGCAATGAAGGATTTAACAATGGCTTAAATATTTTGCAGATTTTTCAAACAACCAAAGCAAGGCAAAAAATAGAAAAAATATTTCACCTACCTTAATGTAATCACACAAGCCATCACCCTTCAGCTGGCCATCAGCCTCAGAATAAAGTTTCAATTTCAATTTATTTGTCTGGGGATCACGCATAATCATGCCACATTTACCCATAACCTCGGCAAATTCATCCAGGGTTATGTCCAAGGGTAAATTTGAAACATAAACTTTGGTGTTGTGTTCAGGATCAATTTCAAACCATTCTGAAAAAGAGCAGCGACAAACAAACAAATTAGAAAAACACTAAATTCATTAACAAGGCTGCTAACTTACTTGGTGGTTCTTGTGCTTTGCGTTTTGTTGTACCCTTGGCGGCCTCCTCATTACTTTTCTTTGCTTCTTCTGTCATTTGCTGTAATTCTTTTTCCTTGAGTTCGGCAGCCTTTATTTCCTGTTCTTTCTTTTCATTTTCTGCCTGGGTGGTATTGTCAATGAAACCATAACTCATTTGATAGCGTGCCATAAAATCTTCATCGATTTTCGGGAACCAAGCATTTTTATCCACATCCCAAAAGTAAACGGTGCCATCACTATCCGTATATATACGTTGACCATTCTCATCAATGTCATATACAATTTCCTTTGTTGGCTGACTTTGATCTTTACTTTGGGTTTGGATCTGTGTCTTGGCTATCCATTGCTGTTTTTCACTATCCCATTTGTAGTGTTCCGTTTCGGTTACTTGCGTTTGTTTTGGTATCCATTTTTGGGTCTCTTGACACCATTTGTAGTGCTCATTTTCATAGGGATTTGTGCTAGCTGTGGATGAGGTAGTTTGTGTTTCCAAGGGTACCCAATTGTTGGCTTTTGTACACCATTTGTATTGGTATTTTGTTGCAGGATCGGTATATATGGCATTACCATCTTCAGTGTAGGTCACATGCTCAGCATGATCATCTTTTGAGGGTTTATCTGAAGAGTCATCTGTGGTTACGGCAGGTTTACTCTCCGAAGAACTTTTTGTGGAATCACATGCAGTTTTAGAAGATTTATTTTCCTCTTCAAGGGAACTTTTTGGAATTGAAATTTCTTCGGATGATTTATTTTCATTATTTTCATTTTCTTTAGAACTTCTTGTCGATCCTGATTGTGAGTGTGAGGCTTCTTCTTTACTATCATCTGCCTCTGAGACCTCATCACAATCGGTTATTGCATTTGATTTTTCATTGGAACTATCCTGAGTATTTTCTGATACCACTTCCCTGTTGGTAGTTTCTCCTACTTCTAATATTTTACTATTTTCAGACCTGTTCGATTCGCTTAATTCTTCTTTGTTATCACAATCGTTTTCTTTCGATGTTGATTCATGTCCGGCGTCTTTCACATCTCCCGTTTCCGTTACACTTTCACGATTATCCACTTTCGACGAAATTGACTTTTCATTTTCCAAATTAACGTTTTCACTTTCACTATCTACACTTTCGACCTTTGTATTGCCACTTATTGTGTTATCTTTTGTGCAAGCACTTTGTTCCTTTTTTTCTGTTTCCGTTGCATCAATGTCGGACGGTTCGTCCTGTTGGCTATCGCTCATCGTAAAATTTTAACTGCAAAGTGAAGAAATGAAGAAATTAGTTTAATGTTCATAATTATTTCCAAGAGGAATGGACAAAAAGAATCTTAGAATTGAAGCTAATTTAAAGCAACGCAGCCGGGCGGCTAATTGGTAAAAAGCTAAAAAATTGCAAAAAATGTTTTCAGCTTTAATATCCAAGATTATATGAAATTCATTGTAAAAATGGGATATAATGATGTTTAGCTAAATTAGTCGACAAATAATTTTTGAAATTATGATTGACCAGACCGAGTTTAACACCTAATTGTATGTGTGATCTTATGACGGACCTTGGTGTTGAATTAAAAAGGACTTATGGCCACGATATATTTGAATATTGACAGCCTTGGAATTTAAAGTCTGTCCATAAAAATGCCGCTTTTTTTTAAAAATATTCCTTGTGCAAAACTTAAAATTTTTATCCAAAATTTTGGGCACCATCTACCCAATATGACCTATATCCAGATTTCGAAATGAGGTAATTGTTCCCTCAGCCACATGGATAGAGTAGGGTATATATCATTTGATACGACCAAAACGTGCCTCATTGAAATAACGGTTTTAGACCCTAGGTCTCTTTGGACCAAATCCGTTTCAGGGCATTCGGAGTCGATATAGCGATGTCCGCCCGTCTGGCTGGTGCGTACGACAACTCTCGAAGGGAGTACTTGGTACATCGTAATATTATTGTCAAACTTAGAAGGAGTTCGGAGATTGGTAAGATCGGTCCACTCCTTCTGGTACCTCCCCCACAAAATGTCAAAATTTTCAATGAAAAAAATTTACTGCAGAGAAAGAAAAAGTATGATCCGATATTGCTCCAACTTTGAAAATCCTAATATTTGCATCAGTGCTAGGGCGTGTGCGAAAATTGACAAAATCGGTCCGCTACCTCCACAACAAAGTGTCAAAATGTGTCTGATTGTCTTCAAATTACACACATCACAATATTTTTATTGACCCAAGGTCTGGTGTGAAGATAGAATATATCGGTCGACTCCTTCTGGTACCTCCCCAACAAAGGGTGAAAATTTTGAATTTTAATGAAGCTCATAAAACGCAAAATTAACATCCGATTCCATTCAAACTTGGCACAACTCAATATTTCCATCAACACAAGATCTTTTATGAAGATGGTAAAGATCGGACCATTTTTTCTGGAACCTCCCACACAAAGGGTCAATGTTGTTAATAACCAAAACGATAATAAAATCCGAAATAAGCATCCGAAATTACACACATCACAATATTTTTATTAACCGAAGATCTGTTGTTAAGATGGAATATATCGGGGTCCACTCCTTCTGGTACCTCCCCAACAAAGAGTGAAAATTTTGAATTTTCATGAAGCTCATAGAACATGAAATTAACATCCGATTCCATTCAGACTTGACACATCTCAATATTTCCATCAACACCAGATCTGTTATGAAAATGGTAAAGATCGGACCATTCCACACAAAGGGTCAAAATTTTGAATAACCAAAACGATCATAAAATCCGAAATAAGCAACCGATTCTCTTCAAATTACACACATCACAATATTTTTATTAACTCAAGGTCTGGTGTCAATATGGGATTTCTCGGCCCACTCCTTCTAGCACCTCCCCCACAAAGGGTCAAAATTTTGAATATTCGTAAAGCTCATAAAACGCGAAATTAAAATATGATTCCATTCGGACGTGGCACATCTCAATATTTCCATCAACACAAGATCTTTTATAAAGATGGCAGAGATCGAACCATTTCTTCTGGTACCTCCCCCACATAGGTTTCAAGATTTTGAAAAACAAAACGCTCAAAGAAAGCGAAATAAGCATCCATCACTCCTCAAATTTCACACATACAACATTTTTGCTAACACAAGATCTTTTGTGAAGATGATATATATCTGCGAACCCTTCTGGTACCTCACCCTGTCTGTCATAAGTAGCAAAACAAGTCAGCGATTCTTTACAACTTTCTTTATCTAAATATTTCTCTCAATCAGAAACTTGAGTTGAATATGGAATTTATGGTTTTGCATAAAATTTGATAAAAAATATTCGATTTTCTTGTAATTTTGCCCATACCAATATTTTCTGACTATATCTGGTACCTCACGTAGATTTTATCATTTTCTAAAAATGATCACATATCTCATATAAAGCGAAGAAAGTAACGACTATATTCTAAACCTGGCACGTCGCAATATTTATATCATACTTATTTAGGACCGATACGAAAGGGTCCCTTTGGAACCTACTCCCTAGAAGGTTAACAATTATAATAATCATAACAGAAGTCAAAATATATATATAATAAATAATCGAACATTGGTTGAAGGTATACATCTGTCGGCAAAACCGACTGATACTTTTTAACTTGTTTACCAAAAAATTATATTCGGAAATTTTGAAATGTTTTACTTATTAAAATTCGTAGAATAAATGCATCCAGCAAACGTCGAAAAATGAAGATATGACATATTGAAATCTCAATACACAATTTTCTAAAATTTAAATTGTTATATGGGTCGACTTTTGGGTAATGTACCCACCATAACAATGGTTAAATGATTGATACGTTAAAATGATTTTCCTATTCAACCAATACATTAATTTATTTTCCGTTTTCCCTTGCTATGTTACTATTCTTGTATCATTAATTCCGCTTGTACCCACCAAACTTCTTTCAAAAACTCCTTTCCATTGCTCCCAACGAAAATAAATAACTTTTCTTTCGTATCTTCCGTTTTCTCCAAAAGTTGATTGACCTCTTTCTGTGTACCGATATAGAATGAGGTACTCCTAAGTCAAATTATAGTATAATATCCTAACATGTTGATTTATAATTCGGACGAATAGTTAAATATTTAACTAATGGCTATTAGACGACTTGTCAAATGTCGTGGACAACTATGACGACGTCAGGAAAACAAAAAGAGAGAGAGAGAGAGATGGAGGAAAAGAAAGAAAAAACATTAGCAAAGTTAGCGATTCGTATTGAACGGGAATCAGGGATGGGAAAACAAACACTTTCGGAAAATTTTGAACTTTTAACAAAATTCAATTTTTGTTGTGTTTTATGGGTTTTGATTCCAGCTAATGAGACAAAACAAGCAAAAAAGCATTTAGTTCGGCCGGGACGAACTTTTCATACCCTCCACTATTGGATAAAGAAAACAGTTTTATATAAAAGAATCTGAGTTCAAACGTGTTCCACGGAATTGTCCAAAAATTGCTATAAATGATCAAAATACCGAATATCGGGAGGTACCGTTATATGGACCGATACATTAATTTTCAATACCACCCATCCTAGACGCAATACAAATTGTTGTGCCAAATTTTGCAGCTCAAAGTCAAATAATGTGGGCTATATTGTGATTTCAGACAGACAGGCGGACATCGTCAACTCGACTTAGATTTTTATGCTGATAATGAATATAGAACAGTGTTGGCATGTTTTGTGCGGGATGCCATATTATTTTGTCGTTTCAAAATGGTCAGGCTTAATCCCATTATTGTTGTTTATTAGTGGATAACGATGGTAATTTTTTCCAGGAGGTAAGGCAGTGAATACTTAGGTTTCGGAAAGAGCCACCGATCCTCATCAGCTCCCGTGTTTTTTGTCTGGGAAATTCTCCCCAGGAGTTATGGCAAAAACGGAATGACAAAGTTAATATACCCTACTTTTCAAGGTGGCGGGTACAAAAACATTTATTCAATGCAAAAGTGGGTTGGGTTGGTATGTCTTTATCCTCAGTATCTGAAAAAATTTGTTTCAGCATGAAAGCCTGCCTGAAGCCAGTATGAAAGCCCGCATTGCCGTATTATATTCTGGAAGAATACTATATTCTTAAATTCCAAATTTCCATCCCTGAGTTAAAATAGCAATATTTCTTGTAGCTTTTCCTTTTTTTTTTTTTTTTCTAACCGAAATAAAGTTCGTTGAACCAAAGTGGCTTAATTTCCCACTTCATTCCTTACGTTTCAAATCAATCAATAATTCAAACATATTCCAAAAAGGAAACACTTTTCCATATTCGTGCTTTCATTCTGCATTAATCTCATCCTTGTTGTCGTTTTAGACGAAACGCTTTAGCACCATGTTAAGAATTTCTTTTGGCTGCCACTTTTACCATTTTATTTTGAAATGGCTTTAAGAACGGGCAATGAAGTCAACACGAGCATGAACAGAACAAAGGTGCTGTCAAGCAGGCTGGCTAGCTGGCTGGTGTCAGTAATATAATTAATTCTATTTGAAAAGAGGGGGCAGACGAAAAAGGGAACAACTTGGTTGTCTGTAAAACTAACAAACAACAAGTTAAATGACCTCTTTTACCGGTCATCAGCAATAAACTGAGATGGAGTATATAACATATGAATTTGAAAGGTTGTATTCGTCGGCCTCCCATTATCCTGGGAAACAGTGCACACTTTTCATTGAACTTGGATGGAAGGGAAAACCAAAACAGTGGGAATACTAAAATGTAGACTATATTAGGCTAGGTAGACAATATAAACCCCTACAGGCACTGTTTACAAACAAATAGAACATTTGAAAGCAAAAAAAACAATGGCTTGCACGAGACACGACCACGTTATATGAATTCGTGTTATTAATAATAAGGCGACATTATCACAGCGCCTTCATCAGTGTCTGTCTATAAATAACTAAAAGTTTAGACAATTCGTGACATGTATGGCATTACATTTCAGATATTTCTTAGATTATCTTAAAATCTGGACCACCCAAAAAACATTTGCTACCTGTATCTTAATATCTTACCTTTTAAAAGTTGTCAATAGTCCTTAGTATTTACTTAAAATTCTGCTAAAAACTGCTGCATTATGAAGATTTTTGCAAATATTCCGAGTTCATTTAGAATTGTCGCTGTAATTTTTCAGAAAATCAAAATTTCCCTCTGAACTATTTAGAATTTATTATTCCACAATCTGGTCGAATTCATATTTTTTTTTTCAAATTTCCGCAGCCAAATCTTTCCA